ACTCTCAAATGCCCCGCCAGCTCCATTTTAAATGGCCGTCAGCTGTGGATGTCCTAGTGCACATGCTTGGTTCAGCTTAGGGCTGCTAGGATGACACTTAACAACAATGATGCACTTGGGGGAGGAGAGCCAGTAGGAAGAGGAGGAGGAGGAGGAGGGTTGCTGTCAAGTAGACCCTGACTCGGGCCACCCTTATATGCAATAGAGCACAATACTGTCTAGTCCCGTGTCATGCTCACAATTGCAACCTGTTTGAATCTCGTTGTGATGATGGTCTTCAACCGTCCTCACTGAGGTTCTGCCTGGCCCTCAGTGGCCCTCTGCTTCACCAAGCGCCATGCCTCCTCCAGCAAAGGATTCCTCCTGATGATGCGTCCAATGCAAGAGAGTTGGATAAGGTTCTGTTGTGGTTCACACGGTTTTTACTGGCTCATTTTCAGAAGCAGATCAAGAGAACTTTCTCCTTAGTCTGGCTCAGCTTGGACGCCCCACTGACGCTGGTCCCCCAGGGGTGACCCTGCTGGTATGTGAAAGCTAATGGCATACCTTCCAGCATCACAACAACCTGCAAGCCACCACAATAGGACGACTTCCTTTTAGGGAGCCCTGGTGGTGCAGTGGTTACACAGCGAGCTGCTAACCTGCAAGGTCAGCAATTCAAAACCCCCGCCACTCCAAGAGGAAAGAGGAGGCTTTCTACTCCCGTAAAGAGTTACTGACTTGGAAACCATAGGAGACCTTCCAACCTGTCTTTTGGGTCACCCTGGAGTCAACATTGACTCAATGACAATAAGTTTGGTTTTATTGGTTCGGTGGCTTAGGGGTTACACATTTGCCTACACATGACAAGGTGGCAGTTTGGAACCACCAGCCGATCTGTGGGACACAGATGGGGCTTTCTACTCTCGTCAAGATTTATAGCCTCAGAAATCCACAGGGGCAGTTCTACCCTGTCTTCTAGGGCTACTCTGAGTTGGCATCCACTCAATGGCAGTGAATTTGGAGTAGTATCTTATTATCAGGCATTCTTTATGAACCAGCTACTAGAAAGGATGCTTAATTAACATTGTATTTCTTAAATGTTAATCTTTATTAAATATTAAATAAACTGATATCTAAATATTAGTTTATTTCTGATTATTCCCTTAGGAAAGATTCCTGGAAATGGAACAACTGGATCAAAGAGTAGAGACATTTTTAAAACTTGGAACATATAGTCAGGTTTTCTTTTCCCTGCAAGAAACTATAGCTCTTTATATTCCTGCCAGTAGAGAGTGAGAAAGTACCACACCCTCACCTCGCCAATCTTACAAAATGCAAACTCCTGGCATTTTGAAAGGGGACACACTTTCATCTCATTTTAATATGGGTCACAAAAGATAGCAAGATTTGCATTCTCCAGGGGAAAAAAGGGAGGTAATTTGGGAGTGAGAAGCAGGTTATGCTAAGACTGTGAGGCAGTTTGTGTGTGTGTGTGGGGGGGGGGGCACGATCGGGCACCTCCCCAGCTGTCTCACCAATAGGTCCCCAAACAGACTTTCAGCTCATACCAGGCTCATGCCTGAGCCTTCTTACACCTTCTACTCCAGGATTGCAGCTAAATGGAATGCTTAATTATGGTTTCATAAATGTAGACCTATGGTCATGAAAGAGACCCACATTAACCCTCTGCAGAGATGGCATGGGGGAAATTGTAATTGAAAAAAGATCAGGCCAGGAGGCAGAGAAAATAAATGTCAGAGGATAGTTCAACCGGAAAGAAAGGTATTAGGCAAAGTGACCTTTCCTGGGGGGAGAAAGGAACTTTCATTCCTGATTTGTTCGCTAATCAATGGTCAGCCCACCAGCACCAGGCAGGGCCAACTCCACCCCAGTGGCAGGCACATCTCACCCCTCCCTGGGAAACAGCCAAGATGTTAGCATGTCCAGAGATGTCTGTCTCTCCACATGCCTGCAGGTGGTTCTCCAGATAGCGGACTACAAATGCTGTGTAGCTGCCAGGTGACTCAGAGACCGAGGCCCTGGGGTCTAAGGGCAGGGCTGTGCTGCCAGGGGAGTCAGGGAGTAGGAGCCTACACGAGGCAGAGGGTCAGGGGAGAAGGCCAGGGTGAAAGTCTCCCGCTGTAGACACTTTGACCCAGTTCCATCCATATAAGGAGCCAGACTGGAAGTTCTGATTTGGTCTTCCCAGTAAAAATGGTGTCTTTGAATGCAGCTGTTCACTGTAGGCTATGTTTACCTACCAGGACCACATGGCAGGTGGTGCTAGGGACT